CCCGCTAATAAGCCGCAGAGGAGAAGGAGGAGGATGAGCGGCCGGAGGGCGTGCGTGAGGCCAAGGGCGAGGACGAGGGCGAGGGGCTCTCGACAAACATGGACTGGGGCAGCCCAGAGCCTGGGGAGGTTGAGCCCATTGCCTGGGCTCACCTCAGCCACGGCGCCCAATGGGTCTTGCTGGAGGTCCTTTGTGACTCCAAGACCTTTGCTTCGGCAACCTGGGCTCTGGGCTTAACCACTCCAGATGTCATTGACTTTGTTGTGGCCTACATCCAGTACCACCGCCTGATCCAGGGGTGGGCAGAGACCTGCGACAAGATGGGCGTCTCTGAGCTCCTCGACCTGATCCATGGCCAAGGGCCATCGAGAGACGGCGTGAATTTTCTGCACCAGCCGGATCTTCCCACTCACACCATCAAGCCCGACGAGTACGAGAGAGCCTGCCAGTACTTGTGCCAAACAGGATTAGGCGAGCACATCCGAGGACTTGAGAAGTGCCGCGGGATCTCAGAGGGCTTCCTCCAGATTCCAATTGAGCGGGAGATTCTGGCCTCCTGCATTGCCATCCTTGAGAAAGGCAAGAATGGTCCAAATGTGCACGACATCGACAATCCTAGTCATAACGGATCGCAAACTTGGCACGATCAGTACGACGAGAAGTACCATGAGTTGGTGAACAGGGTATTGCAGATTCAAGCATACCTCCCTCCTTTGGATCTGACGAAGGGCAGCCAGGCGAGCACATCGTCTGCGACCAATCCCACAGAGCAGCATGGCACTCCTACTCCAGAGTCAGTGAGTGAGCCTCACAGTGCCGGTCAAGTATACGCTCCAAACAACCCAATGTTTGGCGAGAACAATCAGGTAAGCTCCTTCTTATTCTTTCATCTCTATGTCTTCCTTTGTAATTCGTCCGTTGTTCTTGACGTGAACCTCGGTGGCTCTCGCCTTTGAAGTTAAGACGAGAACTGGGCTAACGGTCAGCAGTATGCATGGGTTTTTGATAACTTGGACATGGACGAGCTTTACAATCCCACCGAAGTCCACAAGTATCGCAACCGCCCCGCTGTCTCCTATGAGAGCTTTCAGTCTGCTGCTGATGGCAACCTTGAAGTCACTCAGGCGCAGGAGTATGATCAATATGAGGAGTACCCGCTTCCCGATGATCAAGCACTCAAAGAAGCATCCCACGAGGCTCAAGACAACAATCTGCCGGCCGACCCCTTGTTCCACTTCGAAGGACTCCTGCCCGAGGCAGAGGATCTCATGCCCTGCCCCTTCTTCGCAGAGCCAGAGCTGCCCGTGGACCATACTCGCATCTCTACGAACCCGTCTCTCCCCGTATTGCAGGCTCATGATGAGGACCAGTCGACTCCACAGAGCGCAAGCTCAGCGGTGCCTCAGCCCTTCATTTCTTATATTGATGAGGTGGACCCCAACAGGAAGCCTTCCGACTCACCTGCCTACGAATATTTCCAGTCAGCTGACTACAAGAAACATCTCTACAGCAACCACCCCGATTGGTTCGTCGACGAGATGTTACTTCCAGTTGTTCGACCGGAGGTGCCCGCTATCCAGGCGACTGCTCACCAGAGTGTTGCTCCGGAGGCCAGCCAGCAGGAGAACAATACTGAGGAGGACTCGAACGTCAACTTGAATGCCAACTCGAACGCGAACTCCAACGCGAACTCCAAAGCGAACTCCAACACGAACTCCAACGCGAACTCGAAAGCCGCCGCGAACGCCAACCCGAGCGCCACCCCGAACTCCAACTTGAACATGGAGCCTTCGCATCCGACGCCGAGAACCGATACGTCTGGAGCTCCTGGAGTGTCTGAAGTCTCTGAAGCACCTGCGGTCTCTCATGCCCCCAAGCTCTTCGAAGCCCCCGAATTTTCTGCAGTCGCCAATATTCCCCAGAGCTCTACAATCTCTGAGGCTTCGAAGGTATCTAGAGTCACTGGAAGCTCTGAGGTGTCCGCGGTATCTACAGAGAAAGAGCCTCGCTTCGCATTGAAGGCTCCCACGCCTTCAGTCCAGGAAGAAATCACTTTCCACAACACCCCTGCGGTTGTCGCCAGAGACTCGCGCCCACGCACTGTCATTGACTTGACTGATGAATCTGCGAGACCTATGGCTGCTACTCCAGCGAGACCCGTGGTCGCTCCTCCCTCGAGAAACACCAACACAGCCCGAACTCCGGCTATGGGCATGGATAGTCCCGAAGCTCCATCCACCAAGAGCTCTACCAAGCCATCCCGCAAACGTGCGGCTGATGACAGCGATGGTGACTATGTTCCCAAGCCCAAGAGAGCCCGCCCTGCGAAGAAGGCTGCGGCCGTTCTGCCCCAACCGCAGGTGATGGGTCCTGACGGAGTACTTATACCCGTCAAGCGTGGCCGAGGACGTCCCCGCAAGTATCCCAGACCTGAAAACATCGCTGCCGCGCAGGCTGCTGCTGCTGCGAATCAGGCTGCTGCGAATCAAGCTGCTGCGAATCAAGCTGCTGCGAATCAAGCTGCTGCGAATCAAGCTACCGCGAGCCAAGCTACCGTGAAGCGAGCTACAAACCAGTCGACGACTATGCAGACCCCCGCGAACAGTTCTCCCGTTCTGAACGCTGCTACACCTCCGGCGAACAACCCAGTTCCCAGCACCGAGCCAATGCTCCCGCAGGCGGCCAAAGGTGCCGTGCCGAGTCGGAGACATCGAAACAAACCGAAGACGAACCAGTCTACCGAGAGCAGCCGTCAAGCTAGCGTTGATCAGCCTCACGTGCAGAGAATTGCCCAGTACCAGGACAGAATGACCCCAGTCTCTAGATACAGCAATGAGCCTTCGAGCTCATATACCGACTTCAGAGCTGACGTTCGTCCAACGACGAGCTACGAGCGTATGCCCGCGTCTTTCATTACTGAGATGAGACCGTCTGGTACTAACTTGCGTCAATCCTCGCTTCCTGGAGCCTATGAGCCTTTGAGTTCATACGCTACTTTTCCGGCGCCCGAACCTAGAGCTGGTGTCCGTCAACAGACAAGCTTTGAGCGCACACCTCATCCTGATTCTTTTGGCACGCGTCCATCTGCTGCTGAGCCGCGTCAATCGTCGACTCCTAGAGCCTATCAACCTTCGAACTCATACACTGCTATGGAAACTGCACCCACAGAGTATAGTCGTCGTCAGGATGAAATTCAAGAGCGTATGCCCACGGCTTCTGCTTTACGCATGCAGTCGTCAGCTAGTGAGCTGCGTCAATCCTCGGTCCCTAGTCCCTATTCGAATCCGAACCCATTCTCTGCTCTAGCGACCGATTTCACAACTCACGGTCGTCAGCCGGGAAGCCAAGAGCGTATGCCCGCGTCGTCAACTTCTACAGTGCAGCCGTCTGCTACTGTCGAGCGTCAGTCATCGCTTCCTGGAGCTTGTTCTCGCCCTCCGGCACTTACACCCCAACCCGACATCGAGATCCTAGAGCCCTCCATGCCAGCCATAGCGCCAGCTCTGAAACGCTCGTCTTTCCAGCAATCATCGCATACTGCTGCCTCAAACAACTCTTCGAGCAAATTCGATCTCAAGGCCCCAGGACCTCCTCGCCTGGACAAGCTTGGTAGGTTGTTCCCTCCTCAGTATGAGACATACGAGGAGTTTTGGGTATCGGTGCCCGATGGCGCGGACTATGCCTTGAAGATGGTCGAGAAGGGGTGGCCTTCTGACGTTGCCATGCAGCTTGCCCGAGAGCGCATTGCTATGAACATGGCTTCGTGGCCCAACAGCATCTACTCGCTTCATTACAAGCCGAAGGCTGCGCCAACCCCATTCCCGGGCGTTACCGCTAGCATTCGCAGAGAAATTGAAGCTGAGAAGGCCGCCGCCGCTCAGAAGCGCAAAGAAAACGAACAGGCAGACAAGTGATTCGGCCGATGACCTTGCTAGAGAATTCCTACAGCGATCTAGTAGCATCGATGAACATCAAAGTGTCAAGAAGCGAAAGGTTGCAAGCCTGGCTCGACGGCAAGAATACATCAATTGCATCGCGGGACATACTCTGCCTACTATAAGGCACCATAAAAGAAAAAAGCACAAAAAAAACAAAAGAACACCATTACAGCAGAAAAGTTGACCCAAGATGCCAGACATACGGCCATCGGGTCTCCTGGTTTGCGAGATCTTTCTTGCTACATCGGCGGTCTTTTCTCTTGCTTCTTTCACTTTTTCAACGAGACGGATTTTGGTCTTCGTTGCATATCGCGCTCCTACTTGGAGAATTTGGTTTCGGTATTGGGGAGGACTCAGGATTCTGGTGGCTTTCTCTTTTGCACATACCTCTATGGATGGCTTACAGATGACATTGGTTCGGAGGATGATACCCATTTGGAATTCGGGAACGGTTTCTTGGGGAAAAGGCCCCTTAATTTTGTTGAGATACCCATCGCATCAGTGCGATTTGTTGTGAGTTAGGAAAAATATCAGGTTGCCCAAAATGACGTCCACTTTGGTTCGTGATGTAATAACTGCTTCGTGAGATGTCGTTGATCCGGACCGTCAGAAATGCCACCAGTATTATGTAAGTTAGCGCTGAGCTAAGTGAACAGGGGTTGGTGACGCCGAACTGTGGGTCGACCTTGCATCACCGAGCTTCCCTCACCGAGCGCACGCTCAGCCAAGTTACAGAAGCACTGCCTCCCACTTCCAACCCGCCGATTACCCCAAATCCACATCCTTGGCCGAGCTCCCGTCCCACGCGGCCTAACGACGATCCACTCAGCAACAACGACACCTCTCCGGCCAAGCCTTCACCATCTCCGGTTCACGAGATCCTCCAAATCTCCGTCGAATTGCTACATCAAGCAGTCTCCTAAGACAAAATCATCTATCTGCGCACCGCAGTTCCCGCCACACGAACGAAGCCCGAGCAAGCTCGCCCGGCCACCTTCGTCAACCTCCGTCCACCGACGCTCTCCTCCGTGTACACGAACACATCTACACATACCGCACATCATGGCGCCTCCTCGCATCGAAGCACAAGAAATCGAGACGTACTGGAACATCTTCTCCACCCGGACGGGCGGCGGCCAGTTCCTGACGGGAGAACAGGCCGCGCCGGTGCTGAAGAATAGCGGCCTGACGGACAACCAGCTCGAGAGGGTGTGGGATCTCGCCGACGTCGACAATGATGGAAATCTCGACTTTGAGGAGTTTTGCGTTGCCATGAGAGTTATTTTTGATATCCTGAATGGCGTGAGTATACCTTGAGTCGGATGTGCAGCGGAAGAGAGAATGGCGCAGAGTTGCTAATCGCGTTCGGATGGGCAGGAATACTCAGATGTCCCGACGACACTCCCCGATTGGCTCGTCCCCGAGTCCAAGGCACATCTCGTCCAGGCGAATCGCGCGCTCACAGGAAGGCAAGTGGCGTTTGAGCAAGTCGACGACGATCCAGACTCCCCAGGGCTGAAGGATGGATTCGACTGGTACATGAGCCCAGCGGACAAGTCCAAGTACGAGTCGATATACCAAGAGAACCGGGACGCACGGGGACAAGTAGCTTGTAGGTTCACTTGCGCGGGCCCCTATTCGCCGTGTTACTTTTACTAACAGTGCATTCGTTTCAGTCACTGCTCTCGAGGACCTCTACGAATCCCTCGACGTTCCCGACACCGACATCCGCTCCGCTTGGAACCTCATCAACCCCTCAGCTGGCCAATCCATCAACAAGGATGCCTGCCTCGCCTTCCTTCACATCCTGAACAACCGCCACGAAGGCTTCCGCATTCCGCGCACCGTCCCCGCCTCCCTCCGGGCCTCATTTGAGCGCAACCAGATCGACTACCAACTAGACAACCAGACCCCCGGCGCCTCCCGATGGGCGACAAAGGCCGACGACTCGACGGCGACGGGCCGCAAGGCCAAGTTTGGCGACCAGTACCTCACCCGCCTGGGCCGCAGCGGCTTTAAGTCTAGCGGAACCGACTTCTCCACGGCCAAGACGGACGACTGGGAGGAGGTCCGCCTCAAGAAGCAGCTGCAGGAACTGGACGAGAAGATGGCCCGCATCGAGGCCGACGTCGAGCGTAAGAAGGGCGGTAAGCGCGACGGCAAGCCCGCTCTCGTCAAGCGCGAGCTCGAGCAGCTGCTCGACTACAAGCGCAAGGAGCTCAAGGACCTCGAGAGCGGTGCCGGCAAGGGCCAGGGCGGCGGTGGTGGGCTGAAGGGGGTAGCGGATGATTTGCAGACGGTCAAGGAGCAGGTTGAGGGTCTCGAGACGCATCTCGCGTCGCGGCAGGGTGTGCTTGACCAGCTGCGGAGGGAGATTGAGGATGAGAAGTCGAGTAGATGAAGACGAGAGCTGGTGGGGGGGGGGGGGGGGGGGGGGGGGGGGGGGGGGGGGGGGGGGGGGGGAGAAGCACAAGTGTGTCGGGTGGGTGTGTGGGGGGGGGGGGGGGGGGGGGGGGGTTTGTTTGTGAATGTGTGTGTTAGTTGGGGGGGGGGGTGGGACAGTGCGGTGCGTGCGAGAGGGGGTGGGGGGGGGGGGGGTGGGGGGGGGAGGGGCGGGGGGGGTGAAGGAGGGAGGGAGAGGGAAAATCCAAATTTGACAGCGTCTGTTTCTGGTGCAGGGCGGGCGGCTTGCTTGGGTTATCTTTTATATGTTTGTCTTCTTTCGAGGTAGGGATGACGGGCCCGGTCTGGTTTGGGTACCCCTTTCTCACGTTCAATTCAGGGAGTTGATCATTCCATCTCGATGCATATTTCACGTGCATGTAAGACTATAATGTTTGCCGGTCCGCTGCTTAGATTGATGAGATGCAGAGGAGGTATGCGGGGCTTGTAGTTGAAGATTGTGCTTCCAGGAGGTAGAAAATAGAAGCTTAGCAAATAATGCATGGGGATTGAAGTAACGGATTTCTTTCTCATTATTTTTTTGGCGGCCTACTTCTCCTATGGAGACATTCAGGAGTCATCGGTCCTGGTGAATGATCAGAGCGCAGTTTTCAAGTACAGGATAGGGGGCTGGGAATGATTGAGGTAATGGCAAGAGCATTGAGACCAGACGAGTAGCCGCTTCTCCGCGAGTTTATATCAGATTATTTGGATAGAACCGTATAAGTGTAGTTACATGAATCAAAACACCAAACACCGAGAAGCCGTGCTTCTGCTTCTGCTTCTAGCTCACCATCACGAGCTTACCACTGGCCGCCGTTGGCATACGGCACGGCCATGGGCAACCCCAGGTTCCGGCTCTTGACGGCCCAGATCATGAGAGAAGGGGCCTTGACCCAGCCGATGCGGCCCGCGCCACGGCTGCGACCCGTGGCGCAGACGTAGACGTCGACGGGCATGCCTTTTATGACGGTTTGGTCTTTGCCTTTGAGTGCGAGCTCAATGTTCTTTACGACGCCGGCGGCCTGGTACGTTTTGGGGAGAAGTTAGTCATGTTCAACAAGAGAGAGGGGAAGGTTGTGAGAGAAATAGAGAGTAGGGGGGTTGGGGGCGACGAACCTGCTTATCCGTGAGCATGAAGCCCGCCCTCGGAAACGAGACGATATCCCCGCACGCCCAGACGTTCTCGACGCCCTTGACGCGCATGTACTCGTCCACATTCACATACTTGCGCTCGTTCAGCATCCCGGGGTCGAGGTACTCCGTATTCGGCACGAGGCCCATGGTGGGGAGGTACAGATCCGTCCGGATGACCTCGCCGCTCATGAGCTTAACCTCGGTCTTGCCATCCGGCAGCGGGCGCGAATTCGCGACGCGCGCGTGCTTCCGGACATGCACGCCGAGCCTTGTAATCTCGTTCTGCACAGGTTTCGCGATGGAGTCGCCCGCGAGGATCTCGTCTTCGGCCGCTAAGAGGTGGACCTCTTTGTCCTTGAACTCGAAGCGGATCTCGGCGGCGACTTCTACGCCCGTGGGACCAGCGCCCGCTACGACGATGTGGTTTGCGGACTTGACCTTTTCTGCCGTCGCGTGGAGGAGGCGGAGGGTTTCTTCGTGGGAATGGGAGGATTTCCACGGCATGTCGGGGGAGGCGGCGCGGGCGCCGGTGGCGAGGACGAGGTAGTCATATGGCAGGGACCTGGGGCCGGACGCGGTCGATACGAGGGCGGATTTGCGGGCCACATCGAGGCCCGTGGCGGTGCCGAGGACGAATTCGAAGGATTCCTTGGGGTAGGATGCGAAGCCGGACTCGATGGGCTGGAAGATTTCGTCATCTTTGACGATGCCCGGCACGATGGCGCGGACGGAGCCCATGTTCCAGTAGAAGTGAGTTGTCTGCCATTTTCTTATCAGCCTTTGCGCACGACTTCCTTTCCCTTCCGTTTCGTGTTTTTCCAAGGCACTGCCCAACTCCTGTCCTCATATATCTCATTTTTGCTTCGTCTCCTCTGAACGCTGATGGAGGCAGAGGTGAGATAAGTGTGGGTCGCCTGCAGCTGTCTTACGCCGCCCCCACGGGCCTCCGGAGCTCGGTGACACCCCTAGCTTCTGTAGAGGTCGTCCGATTTCGAGAATCGAGAATTTTCAAGTAGCTTGATGTGTGCCAATTATAGTGTAGAAAATTCTCTCTCACCTTTGAAACCAGGATCACTCTGAGGTCCGGCTCTGTCTGGCGTGTGTGCTTGAGCAGACGATGAGCCACGGCCAGGCCGCCGTACGCGGCGCCGAGAACGACGACAGTCTTGACCATATTGACTATGTCTTATTCCAACTCGTCCTCAAATAGACTCTGAGCTTCTTGATTTTGATGAGGTGAGTAATGGACGAATAACTCGCCTTGATGGAGCTAAAAGAGGTTATTAGTCGATTTGTCAAAGTACTGTTTGGTGATGGGCCCGTCGAGGAGCTGCTGGGTATCTTTAGGTCAATAGACACCCCTCAACCAGAGCTGCGAGACGACTGCTATTTATTCCCCTCCATAGCTTGCTCGGGCCCGGGATGCATCAAAGCCTGGTGGCATCCTTGCGGCATAGATCCTGTGTCCCCCCATCCTATCTCATGTAAGTCCGGAATACGCGTCCCCTCACTAAGTTGCGCTAATGCCAACGAAGAACGCAAATTGGTGCCATTAGTACTTTTGGTCCATGTTTCAGTCTCAAAGTCCGTGCCGTTTGGGTAACACAACATGTGGTTGGTAGGAAGGTAGGTAAGGTCAGACAGAAAAAGCACTTTGGATTGTTCATGTCCGTCACTGGGGTGGGTGGGCCTGTCGATCCCCCGTTGTCCGCTCGGCTTTCCCCACGCCCAGACCACGCATATGACGGATTGCCATTCGACGACGTTGGCACAGTTGGTAGCTGCACAAGCAAACAAAAAAAGAAGAGACGGAAACAAAAGGTTGAGTTTCGACCGGATTCGCTCCATCGATAGTCGGTCCAGGCTCGGGAATGTTGCTGGTGGTGTAGGGCTTGTTGATACCATTTGCCATTTCCAACGATGTTTCCTCGCGGTAGATGTTCTTATTCGCGTCGATAGCTATTCGAGCGAGCCTCAATGCACCTTCTCGAGGCATACTCGTCGGACCCGAGTGTAGCTGTCACTCCCGATTCGTCCAGTTCGGATCAGCCCGTTTGGTGTGACTTTGCCAATGGGAGGCAGACTTTCGTTAGTCAGGGGGGAACAGCGATTCCGAACACCCTCCCGGAGAGAGCCAGCCATCCTTTGGTCGATGTAGTCAAGTTGCCCTCATTCCGCTTAAGGTACGAGCCATGCATCCTATTAATACGGATGTGTGACTGGGAACATTTCAGATGTTGGTCCATCATCTCTGCTTGGAGAGACGTGCATCGTTGCAGACGTGCGATATCAAACCTGGGGAGATGAAGCGCTCGGATGTCCTGCTTTGCATCAGGGCGGCTGCTTGGCCAGATGCAAGAGATGGCTGCACCAGGCGGACGGTCAAACAGTTCGTCAGTCCTGCCGAGTGCCGTGAGCACGGTCGAACGGTTAATGTCGACTTTAGAGGCGGCAGGTTAAGAGAAGATGCTAGCTGCTAGCGCCTAGGTAGCTAAGCATTGTACTGGGTGGGGAGCATTTCCACCCGGGCAGAGCAAAGAAACCATCCTCGAAGCCGATGAGGCTGACCGTTTAACCAGGGATAGAGCGAAGGTTCAAAGATGCTCCGAGTAGCTTCGATGACTTGTTCAAGGTAATCTACCTAGGTCAGGCAAGTACTCGAACCCCGGGCCGATGTCACGGAGAAGGCGGCTTGACATTGAGCCGATGCTCCTCCAGGTTGTGGCAATCCACCCGAATTGCATGTGGCGGTGCAGTAGGTCTGAGAGGCACAAGGTGCAACGTACAAGGTGCAAGGGCCGACCCAATGACAGCATCAGCTGCCCCGCGCATATGAGCATATGATGAAGCGGGCGTGTGGGACCTTCCTTGCTAACCCCGCCAAAAGGTCCAACCCTTTCCTCCGCCTCCCAACACTGAGAAGCTCAACAATCCCTTTTCCCTGGATATATCCTCACTTACTACACAAACCACGCAAACCTCTTTAAACCTTATACCAAAGACCCCCCCTAAAAACAAAACATCATGTCTGCCCCTCAGAGCGAAGCCTTCAAGCAGGCTGTCTCCGACAGCAAGAAGCTTACCTCCAAGCCCGGCAACGACGAGCTTCTCGAGCTCTACGGTGCGTCGCTTCCCACGAGCCCCACCACTGTTACCTCGGCTTCTTTCGTAGCTAACATATCATGATGATGAAAATAGGCCTGTACAAGGTCAGCACTGGCGAGGACATCTCCAGCGCCCCCAAGCCTGGCATGTTCGACCTCAAGGTACGCAAGCACTACCATCTGGGCCGACCCGAGCTCCCCCTAACCGATTCTGGCACGTGATGGAAAGCTGACGTTTGGTTTGCGTGGGTTGCAGGGCAAGGCGAAGCAGAGCGCGTGGCAGAAGGTCGTCGACGACAACCTCACCCCTGAGCAGGCCCAGGAAAAGTACGTCGCCCTCGTCAACTCTCTCAAGGAGAAGTACGGCTACGACGCCAACAAGGAGCCCGAGGCCGTCGGCGCGTAAACGTTACCGCACTCCAACGCACTGCTTCTGACGACCATGAGAAACGACAACGGGTTGATATGGATTAGCAATGGCTTCCTTTTGCTCGAGTACATGCCGAGCAGGAGAGCGAGGATCAATATAATGATACCAACGTCAACAAGAGTCACATGTGAACAAGCGCGCACGGGTGGACTCAGTTTTCCCAAGCACCCCAAGCTCTTCCTAGCCTGTCCGGTTCGTCATAGGCCATCGTCGCCACCCAAGGGATCTCGTCCTTTCCATATGCTTGTAGAGGTAGGTTATAAGGAATTCGCAGGCCGACTACCGCTTCGCCGTCCCCCGCATCGTTTGGTGGCAAGTCTGTTTCGAATGTCCCCACCATGGTCGCTTTGTCTGCGATGAGCGAAGGCCACACAAGCACTCCGACTTCCCACGATGCGATCCTGACTTCCTGCGATGCACTTGCCGTTTCACCCCACGCTTGTTGGGAAATATTGGCAGATGTGACTAGGGCCCAATCTATCGACTTCTCGCCGTACCGAATGTATGTCTTGATGTGAGGTGCTGCCCGTTGTCTGCCGGCTTCTTTTACAACTGAATCATCGCTCAACGCTATGGGATGTTAGTTGTGTATTGATAGGTTGAGACCCGTCACCCTACCTTTGCCATTAGGCGAATTGTTTGTCCAGTGACAGAAGATGGGCCGCAAGTAAGCCAATTGCTTCGCCTGTTGCTGGGATTGAATCTTGGTGTGGATTGATGCTCCTGAAGCATAGCCGTCCAAACTTTGCCTAATCTCGTCCGCGGTAGGAAAGATGACCTTGTACGTTGGCCTGGGTGTCGCAAGGGATTTGTTCTTGGATTCGGCTAGGGAGTCGAAGAGGCACCTTTGGAGCCAGCTGTCAGTGGCCCCCAAAGTAGCAATAGACGATATCTGAACCGCAATCTCAGACTTCCCTTCTTGGACCGGAACATTGCGCAGTGCTCTTTTTAGGGCTGGCCATCCCCAGGTTGTCTGCGAAGTGTCGTGAATGGGATGTCGGCCGGGGACGCTAGCAATGAGTGTTGCACGCACACCTAAAAAGTCGTATCTGCGCAGCTTTTCGACCAAGTCTACGAGGATTGGTCTCCGTGTGTTGTACGCTCTGAGGTAGCTCAGCAGATCGTATTTGAATCTTTCCCCTGTTCCGAAAGGATGTCTACCCGCTGATTCATTCTCGTCAACGACCTTTTCGGGAAGTAGTGGCAGAATTGGAGATCTCCAGACAGCATTGGTCATATTCGTCCAGTCCTTGGCGATCATGTTGGCCGTATGTATGATCACTTGGGCTGAGTCGTCATGCCGGACCAACACAATCATTTTCGTGTGGTGAGTGCCAAACATCTCCGGCATGAAAGCCCCGTGTAGCTCAACATTGGGATACGCTCCTGCCTCTTCCTTTTCAACGTCAGCGTTCAGGTCTGTTCAGTGGCTTATACTCGTCATCATCGGCTGACCTGAAGGGCTATGCGATTGGGATCTTCTCTCTTCCAGAAACCGTGAATGACGTGAACTTTGACTAGGTTCCTGGTATCCTCGTCAAAGTGGCTCATGAGAAAGTGAACGTCGTGCAGGAAGTTGAACTCCCAACACTCTGCAATCATAGGATCGCCCAGGATGTCAGCGAGGCCGACGCAGTCGCGGTTGGCAGCCTCGGGGAGATCCCTTATGGTTGTCAGCTGGAACGGCGACTTGATACGCATGCCCGGCTGTTTTCTCTTCATGGGAGGACTTATAGGCCGGTTCAGGGATTCCACATGGTCTGACTGAGTTGTCGGCGGCAGCCCCTCCAAGTCTTCGGCACGTCGCTGTCGTTTGAATGCTCGCTCCATGGCGAAAATGAAATCAATGAGTGATCATGTACGGCATGTATAAGGGGGTTCAAGTTTGTTCCAGGGGAGCGAGATTACTTGAGACGGGGTTGGTGGCTGAGACTTTATGAGGTGGACGGATGGAAGGAGCGAGATGTGCCAAATCGTTGTTCTAGGCAGGTGGCTCCGGCTTAGATCCGTTTAGGCACATAACCGCGGCGTCCTTAGCCCTTGCGGTTACTTCTGTACCCAAAAAACCCATGAAATAAGCCAAAACTTCTTGGACTGGATTTATAGTCAAACAATTGAGTTGCGTATATTGGTATATAGCTAAGAAGACCTATCTATGCATGGTTCTGGCAATTCTCAAAACCACCCGTTGTCTTTGTTGCAGTACTCGAAGCTACTCTAGCAGGGTAGTGACGTTATTGCTTTCGAAGTGCATTTACTGTATCTCTGTTTACTGCCTTGTAAGTGTACTCCAAGCCTACTTGTTCATCTCTCATAAAAATGCCATGAATTTCCGCTAATTCGCAACTGAATTGAAATGATGGCTCCAGCAATGTATCAAGCATGGCCTCTCTCCTGGCCTCAAGCTTCCTGGCCCGCGATGTGATAGGCTGAGCTTTTGCCTGCAAGCACCTACATTGCCTCCGCCGTATTGATCCCATTTGGGCCGGCTTCACTTTTTCAGAGAAGATGGTTCGTCGAACCTTTTCAGCTGATATGCGGGCCGGCTGAATAGGCTTGGCATCCTTCTCAATCACGCCCTACTTCAAGTTTGGCGGTGCATCCATCCTTTCTCTTTCATCCCCTCTAGCGGTCAACTCAGCATGGATCCTCTTTCCACCGCCGCAAGCATCATCGCCTTGATACAGGCATCGGCGGCTGTTGGAAAAGGATTAAAGATACTCCTCTCTCTTCGTCATGCTCCGGCGGACTTTTGCGAGCTCGTTGATGAGTTGACAGCCCTTCAGGGTGTTATCGAGCAGGTCAAGAGCCCGCTTCAGGAATTGGGAAAGGGAGATATTGCTCTTCCGGTGTTAAACGTCGCCCCGACGCTGGCTTTGAAACAGGATCTAGAGAGTATACAAGAGGAGTTGCTAGCTCTGTGTCATCGTCTCACGGGAACAAAGTCTGGCGATGAAATGAGCGGGCAACTTCGAGTCTCAATGTCGAGGTGGATCCGGGAGAGAAGTAATGTTGCCAAGCTGAGATGCAAGGCAAGCAAGACCAAGACATCTCTAATCCTTTGTTTTGGCGCTCTTATCTCCTCACAAAGGTAAGCGCAAGTTGACGGTTGAAGGCGAGTGCGATTCAGCGAGTCGCTGACTCGAATAGCTCCCATCACGCCAGTGCCATATTGGAAGTTCGCCAGCTCATTGAGACTTCTTTCATGACTTTGGAAGAGGAGGGCAGGATACATCGACAGATGCAAATCATGAATCAAGCCGACTTGAACGATGTCAAGGTCTCTCTCAACCAGATGCTTGCCAAGACTCTGCAACCAGAGGACTCGAAGCAAGGAAGAGACCAGCCTTCGATTGTGATGAGCAACGGTCTACGCTACATAAAGACCGGAGGTATCCCCTTTGGGTCAGTCCAGAAACCAGTCGACCGAAAATGCACATCGTATTGCAAATGTCAATGCCATCGACACTCTAGGCTACAGACACCGACATGGCTACGCTTGATATTGGGGACTCTATTCCTCGAATTCAACAGAAAATCACTGCTGGGGCCCAGAAAGTGCGATCTTGAGACGTGTGAAGGAGCACCGGATTCGACACGGATGATATACATCTTTCCCCAGTGGTTCCTCTTGCGTGCCCTGTTTGTCGCTGCTTCACGGGACAGTCTGACCGGAATCGGCTCTTCGATTCACCTCCGTATCCCGCGAATAATCCCACGCGACCAGATGATATCGATTGTGTATAACCTCGACATCGATTGGATAAAAAGAGGAATCATCAACTCAACTGTACTGCCTACAGATATAGATGAGGATGGGAACTCGCTCCTTATGGTACGTCCGTGTGTATCGATATCTGTAGATCGTCCTAGTTCCTTAACCTTGTTGCAACGTCTTCAGATATCGCTACGCGACGTCAACTTGACGCTTTCGGAATTTCTGGTCGAGCAAGGATGGCCGTTGCACACTGAAAATGTTACTCGCTGGTAAGCTAGCTTGATCCGGTGCCCTACTACTTGGTTGACGGTTCGAGGTTGACTCGTCTTAGGACCGCTGCCAGCCGCTCTCGCATGCTCTATTATGCGGCGAAGCAAAGCCAGATACAGTCTCTCAAGCCCGAGCATGGTCGGATGCTCGAGCAATTGACGTTTTCTCAAGAGGTTGAAACATCATCCTTGATTCACGATGCGATGCTCGGGACCGTCCCGACATCTTTGTCAGACGCAATCACGCTAGCTCGTTCTGATATTGATAGCCTGGATAGTTACGGATGGTGTCCGCTGCACTGGGCAATCTATCTGGCCGATTACGCTTCGTTCGATATGCTGCTGTATCGCGGTGCGAGTCTCGAGACGACTACCAGGAACGGGTGGACACCTCTGCATTACGCAGGGCGATATGAATCTCCTGGTTCGGTGAGGATGACTAAAGCACTACTCGACGCTGGTGCGAACATTGATGCCAAGATCGACAACTACCGTGGGTCCAAAGGAGAGACCGCAATCATGTTCGCGTTCGACAACCCTGATGTTGTAGACTTACTACTGCAGAGAGGAAGTGCTTTGGTGGTTGAGACCGACACAAACTGGGTGTGCCCGCTCTCGTACAGGGCTCGCCGTACAAGTAACGTCTCCCGTTGGGATCCGAGGAGGGCCTACTGGGATCGATCTCTCGACTTGCTCTGCAACGCCGGCATGGACCTTAATGTACCGTCCAAACAGAGGGGTTTCGAAGGCAGAACACCCATCCACGACACGATTCTGTGGCGCAATGCAGCGTTGTTGGAGCTCCTGATTCAGCACGGCGCCAGACTCGATGCCGTCGACAAAAAGGGGTCCGGGATGCTCCACTTTGCGGCCCAGAGTGCAAATCAGGAGCTCATTGACATTTTGAGCGATGCTCGTATCCGCGGATTGAACCCTGATCAAGCAAACGCGGCTGGCGATACTCCGATGAAGATTATGACCGCCAGGCT